GTTTCTTGTTCATCTTGCATCTCCCAGTCTGGTTCAGGGGAAGGGATGTTGGCCTTGGCTAGAACATCTACGCTTGGGGAGCAGCCCCATCAATCAAGTGAGGTGCCCATGGCCAGCAATCTTTTGCTCTATGTGTCTGAACCCAGATTTTCTGGTTATTGACTCCTGGGCTCTTAGGAGGAGAAAAGTTTTAGTTCTCTGCCCCAGCCTACTGTCCAGCCCCTCAGAGACCATTATCTCCTTCCTTACTCTAAGGGATAGGCACTCCATTCTCAGTTCAGACTGAGCGCATGGGCCTTGATCCATCCTCCTTGTCATCCTAGGAGACACCCTCCTTGCCATCCGGGCCCCATCGGGCACCAGCCTGGAGGTGCCCATCCCAGAGGTGGGTGCTCAGCCCAGCCATGCGGGGTGAGGGCGGGTGCTGGCTGTGGAGCCCGATAAGTCCCGGGTGGGGCAGGTAGGGGGAGGCCTGGGGTTTGAGGTTATCTAGGAGAACGGGCAGCCTAGGGTGGGAGAGGACACTGGCCCTTGCCCAGGGTCAGGCAGGAGCCGGGCCTGCTTCCAATTCCACCTGTCCTCCACCCCACACCCTCACCGGTAGGGCCTCAATGGGCAGAAGAAGTACCAGATTCACCTGAAGAGCGTAAGTGGCCCCATCGAGGTGCTGCTGGTGAACAAGGAGGCATGGAGCTCACCACCTGTGGCGGTGCCTGTGCCGCCACCCGAAGATCTGCTCCAGAGCCCACCTGCTGTCTCTACCCCTCCACCTCTGCCCAAGCCTGCTCTGGTCCCGCCCCAGGATGCCTCACGCCCAAGCAGTCCCCAGGTGACCACCCCCAACCCTGTTCCCGGCAGCACCGAAGCCCAGGGGGTGGCCGGTCCAGCCGCTGAGCTCACAGGTGAGGCACAATGGCCATGTGGTGATGGGGTGATTTCTGGGGCCCAAGAGGCAATACCTCTGTGTGATGGAATGCCGTACTCAGAGTGGAAGGGACCCTGTGCCGTTCTTTCTCCTGCTCCCCCATCCCGCAGGCCTCTCCTTGCTAGTGCAGCGAATGGCCCTTGTTAACAGGGAAGTTCTGACTGTGTGAAGCGGCATTAGTGGTGGCAGTTTTCCCCCAGATCTGCCAATGTCACAGTTGCCCTGGCAGCCCCTCTTGAAGTGTGGTCACAGGGGCCATGTCCGTGAGTCTCCCTCCTGCAGGCTTCATGCTCTTGTCTCCTTCAGTGACTAATTTTCACGTTACCTTTTTGGGAGTGATGGGCAGTGCCTAAGTTTCCTTGGGCCTAGGAACTAGGGTGCTAATCATCCTGGCTGTGGCTTCTAGCACGGCCAGCTTCAATACCCTGCTTCCTGTCCCCAAGTGACTGGGTTTGGGGGATGTGGTTGCAGTGAGTGCTATCCCTGGAACCGATAACAAGGACGGTGGTGAGCTCAGCTCCCTCCCGCTAGGCCTGACAGCACTGGACACCCGGCCGCTGCAGTCCTCTGCCCTGTTGGACAGCAGCAGCAGCAGCAGCAGCAATAGCAGTTCATCCGGACCCAACCCTTCTACCTCCTTTGAGCCCATCAAGGCAGACCCCACAGGTGGTGAGTACTTGTCCCCTTGGCAGCAGTGAGAACCCAGCCTCAGACAGTCCTAGGTCAGAAACAGAGTTGGGCTTGGAACCCAGCTCTCCTATCTCCTCAGCCAAAGCTGGTCAGCCCCCTGCCATCAACCAGAGCTCTGCCAGCCAAGGTGAGGAGCCTGGCCTCTGGCTTGGTGCTGGTGCCCCTTTGCCCCCTTCCTGGGCTGACACAGAACTCCCTGGCCCTCCCTTAAGCCCTGCCTGCCACCCCTTGGACCCTGGTCTCAGGAAGGTGTGAATGCTCTCCTGGGGAACGGGCTGTGGTATGGCCCTCAGGCTCCAAAGGTGGGCAGTATGTTCTTAGGAGAGGTGGTGTCATCTGCCTGGTATCTCCTCTCCATCTTGTGACTTGAGCGTTTGCTTTTTCCAGGACTCATTCTCCTCGGCCCTCAAGCACTGCTAAGTCTCTCCTCGTTAAATGACACTTCATCGCCTGTGTCTCTCTCTCTTCTTCCCTATATCCTCTGTGTTTGGACTCCTTGATAAAGTCATCTCCATTCTACTCCATACCCTGGTCTCCTAGTCAGCCTTCAGGTTGCGGCAGTCAGGACCCCAAACCCCCACCCCATGCTACACCAGTGCTACTCTTGATAAGTTGCCCAGCTTTGACAGCCAGCTCCAGCAGGTTTCTGGCCAATTTGCTCTGGTGCTCTCTTGCTCTGTGTTGATGCTCTTTTTTCTCCTTTGGCATTAATGATGTCAGCTCTTGGCTCTTCTCCCTTAATTGGCTTCTTCTTCTGACCTCTCCCTGGCATTCCTTTAAATCTGGTTTCCCAGATCTCTGGCTCATTCCACACCTGTGGAGGGCCCCAGTTCTGGGTAGATGAATCCCAGCCTCCATCTTGCCTAGGCCTTTTGCCTGAACTTAATCTCTTGTGTCCACGTGCCTTCCTCTGCACATCCAGTGGGCACTTCATTCCCATGTGTCCTCAACTGAAACTTGGATTTCCACCTTTGTGCATACCCGACCACTGGCCCTAGTCACCCAGGCCTGACACCTGGGGTCAACTCCAGCTCTCCCTCCTTCTCCCTCCTTCTCCTGCTCCCCACCCCACATCAGCTTAGTGAGTTCTCTTGCAGACATCCCCCATGGATGGCCTCATGTATCCTAACACTCAGGATCACTGCCAGCCACCTCTACCCTAAGTTCTTCAGCATCTTCTTCACCCCGACTGACAAGAATCTGTTTGAAACACAGCCTGACTGGCATTTCTCTGTCTACAAAATTACCTTTAACAGCTCCCAAAGGTCTGCTGGATAAAACCAGAGCCCCTAAACCTGGCATATGAAATCCCTCGTGATCCAGCTCCAGCACTCCTTTCCTCTGTTTCCCATGTGTGTCCTCCTGGTTAGACCTTTGTAGCAGTGTCATCACCCTGTAGCACTATCCCCTATTTAAGAGTGCCTCCTCCTCTGCCAGGTGACTGGCCTGGGCTGTGGTCTCTGAGCCTGGCACCAAGTAGGTGCTTCGCAAGGGCAGGGATGGACAGGACATCCTCTGTCAGACAGGGCATCCTGCATCAGACAGAGTATCCTCCATCAGACAGGGTATGTACTCTGAGCTTAGAAATGGAGAGGGTGTGCTGCCCTTCTGCCAAACCACTGAGTTAGAAGGGCTGTACTGATTACCTACAGTGGTCCTTTGGCACCGAGGAATTCAGGTCTGGTAGGGAAGACTTGCAGACAGTGCCGGCTTGGTCTGGTGCAGGACCTACATCTCAGCTGTATGGAGCCCCTGGGTGGGTGATAAAGGATCTGGGGAAGTGGGGGCTAGAGTGGGACCAGGCTGGATCTCTGTGCCCTTGAGCATGGCTTTCTTGTCTTTCAGTTCTGGAGCTCCCCAAAGAGCTGTCAGAAATCTTTGATCCCACTCGAGGTAGGGCTCTGTTCTTCCCTGGGGTTGGGGTGAGGGGCACAGCTCATTGGGTGTTAGGGCCATTTTCTTGCCCTTCTGAGGACCTTATGGTTGTGCCCGGTACCTGGGCAAAGGGTAAAGTTCCTGATGGTGGCTGGGTGGTCCCCTTCATGGGCTTTGGTGGGTGGAGAGGCAGGAGCCAGAATGTAACTGAGCTCTCCCTCCATCCCCAGAGTGCATGAGCTCAGAGCTCTTGGAGGAGCTGATGTCCTCAGAAGGTAGGTGGCCCAGGCAGGTGGGGGGTGGGTGTGTGTGGGCAGGGTTTGGGTGGCTGCTGGGTGGGGTCTTGGCCCTGGGGCCTCAGCCTGTTGCTCTCTGCAGTGTTTGCACCCCTCCTCCGCCTTTCTCCACCCCCTGGAGACCACGATTACATCTACAACCTGGATGAGAGTGAAGGTGTCTGTGACCTCTTTGATGTGCCTGTTCTCAACCTCTGACTGACAGGGGCATGCCCTTTGTGGCTGGGGCACAGACTGTCTAACCTGGGGGCTGCCTGGGGACCTCCCCCCACCCCACCCCTACACAGCTTGAGAGCCGTAGACTCCTGGCTTCCCCAGCCTTCCCTCACTGCACAGTTCTGGCCACAAGTCCCACTCCTGCACCAACACCTGTTCTGTGCTGGGAGAGCAGGGGAAAGGGGCTTAGCCCTCTCCACTGTGGAGCCAAAGTGTTTGCCACTCCTTTTTGGGGGCCTTCCCCTACCTGGTAGCCTCCCCCGGCCCTCTCAGAGTTCAGTTTCAGCTGCCACCCAGTGGCACAGATCCAAGGACCCTCCATCACCCTCCTTAGGGCAGCGCGTCCAGCCCCACTGCCCTGTACCTGCCAGCCCCTCCCTCTCCAGGAGGAAGCATGGGGTGGGGCTGGGCACTTGCCAGCACCTAGCCTAGCCTCCTTCACTTCTCCCCACGCGGATCACACAGCTCCTTCTGTACTGCTCGTGTGCTCCCTTTCTGCTGGACCCTTGGCCCTGAGAACCTGTTGGGGCGGGCAGGTTGCTAACAGGAGGAATGGAGATCTCTAGCTAGGAATCTGGTCGGGAGAGTCCCTGAGGATTGGCCCGGCCTCCCTCTGCCCCACAGTCCCCCTCTTGTTTATTCATTTATCCTCATTTAGAGCCATTTGCAGAGATTTAGAAAGATTTGCAGTAACGAATGGATTCCTATATAAAGATTATTTTTATACTTTTTGCAACAAAAGGAAATTGTAATATTTGTACAGTGTCCAAATGAATAAAGACCATGCCTAAGGCTGTCTTTGATCTGGTTCTTTCAGGGATCCTCCCTGGGACTGTGCTGGATTGGTGGTGGGAACGGGCGGGTCAACTTTCTGGAAAAGGTGTGGCGGTGCTGACAGCCCGCCCTCCCCCCCCACCTGCCGCACCTTGGGGCGGGGCGGGGCCGCCTCTGCGGGGCGGGGCGGGGAGGCACCCTCCTACCCTCCTACCCCCGGGGACTCCAACCCGGAACTAGCCTCTGCTCTGGCTCCCTTGGGAAGGCCGCGGCGCCTTTTCGGGAGTGGGAGCCTGGGCTGTGAGTGCGGGCCACGGGAACCAAGTCTCGGGCAGAGGAACACCTTCGTCCTCAGGGGCCTCAGACCAGGTGTGCCCTCGGCGGGAAGTTGCACATCTGGAAAGTACAGAGGCCCCCACCTCGGGTAGACTATGGTGCCCCCGCGGAATGTAGTGAAGATCGCCGTCCAGATGCGTGACGCCATCCCGCAGCTCATCCAGCTGGACCAGGTCACCCGGACTGTCTGGCCTCCGTCCACCCCACCACCTACCTCCGGGTCGTCCCTTTCCCCTCGAATAGCCCACCCCCCCTCCCCCAGGCTCCTCCCCAGCTCCCAATCCCATCCGGTGAGTGACTGTTCCACTTGTAGGCAAAACCCCTGGCCGCTGTGCTGAAGGAGGTGTGCGACGCGTGAGTGCGGGTCTGCCGGGGCACGCAGGGTGGCTGGTGGGAGGGCAGGTGGGAGGGCAGGAGGGAGAGGGCGCCCTCTACCCGCCTCGCTGAGCCTCTGCTGCCCGCAGGTGGAGCTTGCCTCACTCTGAGCGCTATGCCCTACAGTTTGCCGATGGGCACAGGAGATACATCACTGAGAACGTGAGTCCCATCCCCGCCCCACATTCCACTCTATGACCCCTTTAACCCACCTGGCTCTGACTCAGAGTCATCATCCCACTCTCTGGAACCTGATCTTTCTTTCACTGACTCCCAAATCCTCCCTTATTGACAACCCCAATTAACGAATCCTCAGAGCCCTTCTTGACTTCTCTTCATTTTCTGCCATCTTTTCCAGAACCGCACGGAGATAAAGAATGGCAGCATCCTGTGTCTCAGTACTGCCCCAGTAATGTCCCTCCCGACCATGCCCTCATTCTGTGCCCCTCTGCTATGCCTCTTCTCTGCCCGCCACTGGCACCTGGGCCCTAGGTCTGGAGGCCCCAGCCCTAGCCCCAGCTCCAGCCCAGTAGTGCCCCACCTAGTGGACCCCAAGTCCCCACATCCCCAGTTCCCACTCCTTACCTCCTCACCTGTTCTTGCTCCCACCCCTGGCAGGACCTTGAGGCTGAGCGGTTGTTGCGTGGGCTGCAGAGCGAGAGTTGTGAAGGGCGCCGGGAAGCCCTTCAGCACCTCGTTCTGCTGGCCCCAGACATGACCTTCACCCGGGAAGTCATCAGCCGTGATGGGCTTCAGAGACTAGGCTCCATCATTGAGGATGGGGACGAGTGAGCACAGGGCTGTGGTGGGTGGTGGACATGGTGGGGCTGGGCGTCCTGGTCTGGTCCTCTCAGCCCCACATGTCTCCCCAGCCTAGGAGAGGTGCTGGCCCTCGCACTGAGGGCCTTCTTGGAGCTCATGGAGCATGGCGTGGTGTCCTGGGAGACGCTCAGCATCCCCTTTGTTAGGAAGGTGGGTGGGCTTTTCTAGAGGTAACAGGTGGGGGCAGTGGAGTGGTGTCAGGGTCTGGCCTTCCATGGTGCTGAGGTGGTGACAACCCCTGCTCCTCTAAAGGTGGTGTGCTATGTGAACATGAACCTCATGGATGCATCTGTGCAGCCCCTGGCCCTGGGGTTGCTGGAGAGTGTGACCTTGAGCAGCCCTGCCCTGGGCCAGCTGGTCAAGAGTGAGGTGCCACTGGATAGGCTGCTGGTGCACCTACAGGTGTAAGTGTCTGGAGGTGGGGTACAGATGAGTGGAGCGGGGCTGGACCCTGGATGGCCGGCTGAGCCCTCTTCCTGTCTCAGGATGAACCAGCAGCTGCAAACCAAGGCCATGGCACTGCTGACAGCTTTGCTGCAGGGGGCCAGCGCTGCTGAACGTAAGGTGGGTGTCAAACCAGTGGCTGGATTGGTGGGGGGAGGAGCTGGTGGGCAGTGTGCTCCACAGTGGGCCTGCAGGATGGGTGCTCATGGTGGGGCTAAATCACCTGAGTCCCCTTCCCACCCACCTCAGCACATGCTTGACTACCTGTGGCAGAGAAACCTTCGCCAGTTCATCTACAAGGTAGGAAGGACCAGGCCAGGCAGACCCTTCCCCGCTCCTCTCCTCGTGGCCCACACTCACACCCGTGAACTGGCTGTTCTCCAGAACATCATCCATAGTGCAGTGCCACTGGGCGACGAGATGGCTCACCACTTGTACGTACTGCAGGCCCTGACGCTGGGGCTGCTGGAGCCACGCATGCGGACGCCACTGGACCCCTACAGCCAGGTAGGTGCCTTTGGGGCACACGAGGCTGGGGACGGCTGGAGCTTGGCCTTGAATCTTCAGTCTTAACACCACTCCAACAATGACCCCAGGAGCAGCGGGAGCAGCTGCAGGCCCTGCGTCAGGCTGCCTTTGAACCGGAGGGGGAGTCCCTGGGCACTGGGCTGAGTGCTGACCGTCGCCGTTCCCTCTGTGCCCGCGAGTTCCGCAAACTGGGCTTCTCTGTGAGTGACCCCTATCCAGCTCCCTGCCCTTGCCTCAAGCCAGGGCTGCTGTTGTTCCAGAGGGCTGGGCCCTTCCTCAGCTGCCTTTCCCCCTTCCCCCAGAACAGCAACCCTGCGCAGGACCTGGAGCGTGTGCCCCCTGGCCTGCTGGCCCTGGACAACATGCTCTACTTCTCCAGACACGCGCCCAGCGCCTACAGCCGGGTCAGTGACAGGGTGGGGTGGGATACGGCAGGTTGCCACCTAGGCGGGGGGTCTCCACAGCCTCAGTCGTGACTCCCCACCCCATCCTGTGCTCCCACCACCCCAGTTTGTGTTGGAGAACAGCAGCCGTGAGGACAAGCACGAGTGTCCCTTTGCCCGGAGCAGCATCCAGCTGACTGTGCTGCTGTGTGAACTGCTCCATGTCGGGGAGCCCTGTGAGTGGTACTGGGCACAGCGTGTCCAGGAACGGGGGACGGAAGGGCAGAGAGGGCCAGGGGCTGCACACACTTTCTCCCTGAGCCCCTCCTGCCCCCCCGCTCCAGGCTCCGAAACTGCCCAGGACTTTTCGCCCATGTTCTTTGGCCAAGACCAGAGCTTCCATGAGCTCTTCTGTGTGAGCATCCAGCTGCTGAATAAGACCTGGAAGGAGATGCGGGCCACTCAGGAAGACTTTGACAAGGTGCGTAGGGCGGGAACAGGGAAACCTGGGCCAGGGCAGGGGATTGTTGTGGGTCGGGGCCCAGAACTCAGGCCCTGAGCTAAGCTTGGGGTGGCCCCAGGTCACGCAAGTGGTGCGGGAGCAGCTGGCCCGCACGCTGGCCCTGAAGCCCAGCTCCCTGGAGCTCTTCCGAACCAAGGTGAACGCGCTCACCTACGGGGAGGTCCTGCGCCTGCGGCAGACAGAGCGGCTGCATCAGGAAGGCACACTGGCTCCTCCCATTCTGTGAGTTGGTGGGGATGGGTCCCAGTCCTAGCCCCCACCTTCCCTGCTGCCCCCTGGGCCTCGCTCAGGCCCAGGTCGTCCTGTTCAGCGAGCCCCCTCCCCCCCTTCCCCAGGGAGCTGCGGGAGAAGCTGAAGCCAGAGCTCATGGGCCTGATCCGACAGCAGCGTTTGCTCCGCCTCTGCGAGGGGACACTCTTCCGCAAGATCAGCAGCCGACGGCGCCAGGGTCATTGCTTGGGCAGTGGGGCTGGAGAGCGGCTGGGCTGGGGTCAGGGCGTGTCCCTCTCATCACTCCTTCCCTCTTACCCTTTCTGCCCACAGACAAGCTGTGGTTCTGCTGCCTGTCCCCCAACCACAAGGTGCTGCAGTATGGGGATGTGGAGGAGGGCGTCGGCCCGCCCGCCCCCGAGAGCCTGCCTGAGCAGCGTAAGGAGGGCAGGGTGGGGGTCAGACACCTGCTCTTCCCAGACCGCCGCCCCACCCCGGGACCGCCTGGGGTCCCAGTGGTCAGCCCTACCTTCTTCCTGCAGTCCCTGTGGCCGACATCAGGGCACTGCTGACAGGCAAGGACTGCCCCCACGTCCGGGAGAAGGGCTCGGGAAAGCAGAACAAGGTGAGTGCAGTGGGGACCAGGGGCTCCTTCCCGCCCGCTCCTGCCATGCCCCCTGCTTAGTGCTCCTGGCTCCCTTGCTTCCCCAGGACGTCTGTGAGTTAGCTTTCTCAGTCAGCTATGACCACGGGGAGGAGGAGGCATACCTCAACTTCGTTGCCCCATCCAAACGGGAGGTGAGTGTCTGGGCAGGCTGAGCAGAGTCGGGCAGACGGGCAGGGGAGGAGACGGGAAGGCCCTCATGGAGATGGCCCCATCCCCAGTTCCACCTGTGGACAGATGGGCTGAGCGCCCTGCTGGGCAGTCCCATGGGCAGTGAGCAGACACGGCTGGACCTGGAGCAGCTGCTGACCATGGAAACCAAGCTGCGGTTGCTGGAGCTGGAAAATGTGCCCATCCCTGAGCAGCCACCCCCCGTTCCCCCGCCCCCCACCAACTTCAACTTCTGCTACGACTGCAGCATCACTGAACCTTGACAGTGAGGTTGGCCAAGGGCCACAGCTGCTGCCACTGTGGTGGCCACAAAGGGTGGAGGGGGGGAGAAGCACAGGCACCCTGACCAGCAGAGGCTGCAGCAGAAATAAAGTCTGCTTGGCTCTTAGACATGTGTTGAGCGAGCTCTGAACCCTGCAGGCTAAGCCTGCCTTCAAGCTTAGCTGGCAGATAAGATGAGGGCGTCAGGCCAGGGCCACAGCTTGGGGCCGCAAACCTGGGCAGCTACAGTTCAGGGGCTGGTGTTCTGAAGGACGGTGGGGACCGGCTGGCCCTGTTACCCTTCTCCAACGTGAGTCCTCAGCCTCCCTCAGTGCTAGGCCTGCAAAGAAGGATGGCCTGTAGTCTGGGGGCACCAGCTGAGAGAGGTCTGGGGCTGCCAGCCAGCTGAGGGTGAGGTGGTAGGGCAGGAGGCATTTCCCCAAGTGGATGCCTTTCTGGGCGCCATTAACAGGAGCCTAGTCTGGGAGCCATGTTTCCAGAAGAAGACTCCTGACAGTCTGAGCTCAGTCCTCAACCCTGCTTGGCCCTTCCCCTGCGTCATTTGTGGGTCGTGACGGCCTCCTGTTGAGAGGCGTGAAGGGAGAGATGTGAAGTTGGGTATGCTTTGTGCTGAAGGGCAAACTCAAGGTTCCAAAAGATGTTCCCCAGGCCAGTGGGAGGATGTAGGCTGATTCTGACAAGAGGGAATTTAGTGCAGCAAGCCTGCATTCTGATTAAAACCCAACTGCAGCAGCATGGGTGGGGTGGGGGCCACAGACAGGCCAGCTGGAGGTGAAGCTTGGAGGCTATGGTCATAGACCCCAAGCCTCTGAGGCAAAGAGGAGCACACCCACCCACAGGACCCACGGGCAGGCTGGAAGCTGCCAGCCACCACCCTCTGACCTCCTCCATGCCTCTCACTACCTCTCTTTCCCAGTGCCTCCTCAAAATATCTTTTTTAAGTGTTAACCATCACCATGTTACCTAAAAACTGATGATACGACACCTCCTTTGAAGAATGTTCTGGGGGAGTATTTGTTCCCCCTCTCTAGCTATGCTTCTGACTTGGGCATTCAGGGCCCCACGTGCCCACTCCTGCATTCAGACTTCCCACTGCACTTAGAATAGTCCCTGTTGAGTTCAAGGTGCAAATGGGGAGCCCAAGTGCAGTTAAGTCTCCTAATACCATCAATTCTTCCTTCTCAGTGTCTCCAGTCCCTTGTTACAGGCCACCATCATCTTGGCAGGAACCTCCTGACTTCCTGCCTCCTGTCTCGCCCTTCCAGTCTTCTCAATACCAACTACCACACTGCTTTCTCAAACAGGAAGCCGATCTGATTACACACTCACACACACACTGTCTCCCCTGTATTCTTCGGTGTCTCCCTATTGACCGTGGATAATGGTCACGGTACCATGATTGAACAGAATTGAGATGGGTTGCAGACGCGTTGTGGTTTAGCCCTTTCAACAGAGTGCTTGTGGCTTACAGAGTCACAAGCATGTGGACCAAGGATGCTCGGTCCAAGCTGGCATCCTCCCTGCCTGCCATGGGACTGGGACTACCCCTACACCCGGCGCCAGCTCTGGCCTGCCCATGTGCACCTCCCTGGTCCCTTCTGCCTAATTGTCTCCTTCCCTCCCTCCTCTTTTTTCACTGACTTGAGTCTTTCCTTGACCTCCCAGGCTAAGCTTATAGCTTCTGTCTCTGTTTAGGAGGTTGGACTAGACCTCTAATGACCCTTCCTACCCACAGATGCTATCCTCTTCAGTGTCTTTTGTGTGTGTGTGGGTGTGTGTGCTGAAAACAGCCTCACTGACTCAGGCAGCCTTAATCACTGCTCCTGGGATCTGGCTGGGATGAGGGTACACAGACATGCCTTTGCTGCAGGACATGTCCTGGGGCTTGTGCTGGGGAGAGGCCTCTGGAGTCTCCCACCCTGTGGGGAAGAAGCTAGGACCTGCTGGGGGCACCTGTAGGGCTTTGGGCCAGGTGTGAGGAAGAAACTGTTCCTCTGGTGTTTCCTACACATTGTCCCTGGGCTGGGCTGCTTCATCTGAGGTGGGGAGGGAAGGGGCCCTTTGGTCTGAGAACTTCGGACAAGGAGGTGAGATCTGGAATTTTTAATCTTGTGTATACAACAAAGACTGTGGCTTGGCTGCTAAAGCTCAGTGCTGGTAGGGGGCTGGGAGAGCTGTGGGGAACAGTACAGGCCTTAGTGTGAGAAGGGGCAGGGCCAGAGGCACAGGGTCTGTTCCTCCCAGCACCAGACCCAGCCCACCTGTGGGCCTGGCCTCTGGACCCAGGCCTGGACAGGAGAGCAGGAGCTGGCATTTCCAGGGGCCTGTGGCAGCGACATGTAGCTGGAAAAGGTTCCTGCTGGGCCGTGGGGCAGACTGGGGCAGGAAGCCCCTTGGGCTGCCCTGATATAGTCCCACCCTTAGTCCTAGAAAAGGGGTTTTTAGCTTGGGGAAGGGGCTCTGGGGCATGTAGCAGAGGGAGGTGGGAGGCACTGAGTCAAACTCCTGGTCAAGAGGCCAGGCCTGGAGCCTCTGGAGGTGACAGAGGCTGAGCCACAGGGCTGGTTACTGACCTGGCCTCAGAGTGTTAGGGTCAGGTCAGCCCCTCCCACGAAGCAGGACTGGACGCAGGTCACCTCAGGCAGTTGGGCTTGGAAGCGCCTGACGGAAGCCATGCTGATGCCAGGACACATGGCCACATCTGCCATCCGGAGCTGCTTGCACGCCTGCCCAGTGGAACCCAGCGTTCCGCAGGGAGGCCACTGGGCGAGCGCTTGACCCGGCACGGGGCCCCAGCCCAGCCCCTACACTGTGTAGCACCGGACACACTCACTGCTCCGAGCGCTGACTGCACCTGGACAGGTTGAGGTGCTGCAGCCTTGGCCGGGAGCCGGCTGCCTGGACCCAGCCCTCGTCGCTGAGGTGGCTGCAGTGACTCAGCACCAAGCGCTCCACGCTGGGGCAGCCTCTGGCCGCAGCCAGCAAGCCCTTTTCTGTGAGTGCTGGCAACAGGCTCAGTGACAGCCGCCTCAGCTGGGGGACCTGGAGCATCTGTGAGGATGGCGGGGGGCGGGTGGTGTGGCGCTGGAGCCCTTCCAGCTTCCCCTACCCCCAGCCAGAGGAATGGCTACGGGCAGCAGAAGCCAATGAGAAATGACTTTTTCCAGGCAAAAAGTGGGTTGGCCCCGACCGCTGGCTTCAGCCGCAGGGCCCTCAGCCTATCCACATCCCCAGCCCCACACCTTGGTCAAACTGGCATCAGTCAGCTTGCTGCAGGCTGTGAGGTCCAAGTCCCGTAGGGCCTGCAGCGTGAGTAGGGCGGGCCCTGTGGCCGGGGAGAAGGGTCCTTTTGCAGCTGGAGGCCCGATGCCCACCTCTCGGGGTGGCTGTGAGAGGAAACCCTTGCTTCCCAGATTCCTCCTGAGTTTGGCCTTCAGCTGTTCCCAGAGACAGGCGCAGGAGGGGCAGGAGGGCAGCTGAGCCCAGGGACTGCCCCGCCCGCCATGACCTCGAGGGTCCCACGCCTGCGGCCCCTGCAGAGTCTCCTCACTTGGTTGCCCCAAGCCCAGAAGCCCCTGGTCACGGAGCTCCTTGCACCAGGCCAGGCGCGGGACTGACAGGTGGGTGAGGTAGGTGCAGATGGCCTGCACGGTCCGGTTGGTGGGGGGCCACGCAGGAGGATAAGTCTAGCACCCTGAGGCTTGGGCCCAGCGCTAGCATCAGGGAGAGCACTGAGGCGTCCTAGGAGGGAAGTGGAAGAGGGAGAGGGCAATGGAGTGGTGGCTTGTGCCTGTGTCACCGGGCTTGGCGGGGGTCACTAGGAAGGTTCTGCCCAAGGTTCCAGCCCCACAGGCAACAGGAAGCTGCCACAGGGTCCACGGAAGGAAGCAACAATATTCCTGTGCTGGTGAGTGTGAGTGGACCTGGTGGGCTGCAGTGGTGGGACGCCAGGAGAAAAGCAAATGCCTAGGTTGGCTGGGGCAGGAAGGATGCAGGTGAAAGTTTCTAAGGTGTTCACCCTGCCTGTGCTCCCAGAACCAGTGGTGGACATCTGATTCTCACTGAGCCAGTCAAATATGCTCCCTCTAGGACTGTGAGGTCACAGAGCGGGTAGGGCTGCCACCACCAGGAGCAGGAACTAAGGGCAGAACAGAGGAAGCAGCTTTGTAGAGGGATGCAGAGACACGGGAAGGCGGGGCCCCAGAGAGAGCAGCTGAGAGATGCACAGTGGTGAAGCCGTGAGGATGGAGTAGGGCAGGGGAAGAGGGGCACTTGGAGGAAAAGGCTGAGATGCTTTTCAGGCGGGCAATGCTCTGGGCACAGTGCTAGATTGAAGTAATAATTTGCTAAAGAGGAAGAGACTGACACTGCAGGAAGACAGGGACGCCACCCAGAGGGACAGGGCTGAGCCCTATTGAAGGAACTGGCTTCAGTCAAGAAATGACCCTTCTGCTCCCACGTCACGTTACCTCCCTTGGGCCCTGCCTGAACCATGACGGCTGTGTAACCTTGGTACCCCTTCCCCGCAGGGCTCAGTTCTGTCACCCCTTTCATCAGCCTTCCTGGCCCTCAGAACACCCACCCTCACTCCCCTCCCCAGACTGCAGTGGTCACCAATCACTTGGCTCGTGAGGTATGTGCCACCTTGTGGGCTGGGCCCCCTGGTCTCCTGGACCTCCCTCTACCTGGACCCACTGTGGGGCTGCGGGGAGGAGTGCTGGCAGCAGACCTGTCTGTCTAGGCTCCTTTCCTCTTCCCGACTGTGTCCCCAGTTCAGCTCTAACTACTCCTTGGACACAAACACTGGGCGCCTCCCTGGCGCCACGCTCCCAGTTCCCCCAATCCCTGGTCCTGGTGAGGAAGGAAGGAAGGAAGGAAGGAAGGGGATGGGATGCTCACCTTGAGTGAGGAGCAGTAGGCCAGGCTGAGGGAGGCCAGTGGGTGTGGAGCTCCGCACACCAAGCCCAGGGCCTGGGCCGATTCCCGCCCTCTCACCAAGCTGCACTCGGCCATGTCGAGGCTCTGCAGCTCCCGCAGGCCCCCTAGGGCTGAGCACCTCGCATCCGTCAGCCGCTGCAGCTTCCTCAGGCTCAGGTGCCACAGACGCCGCAGGCCCCGGCTCACAGCCAAGAGTGCCCCGTCAGCCAGTTCTGAGCAGCCGCTGAGGTCCAGGAAGGTAAGGCCTGGTTGCTGGTGGCAAAGGGTGGCCACAGCCTCTGTGAAGAGGTCCCGGCAGCTGTGCAGGCTCAGCTCCTGCAGTTGCAGCCCGGCCACCTGGCCCAGGGCCTGCAGGGCCTCGGGTGGCAAGCCAGTGCCACTCAGGCCCAGGGCGTGCAGCCTACCAGCCTGCTCCTTCACGAATTGCAGCAGGTTGCGGAAGGAGAGTTGGGAAGGGGAGGAATCCTGGGGGCCGATGGAGCCCTGGGCTGGGCCTGGCTCGAAGGTGAGGTGGCAGCAGGCCAAGGAGAGGCGCTCCAGGCTGAGGACACAACTGCTGAGCCGGTTGAAGCTGAGATCGGTCAGGTCCCGCAGGCTAGCCAGACTGAGCTCACGGAGGCCGCTCAGTGCCTGCTGGACCCGCTGTGCTGTCTTGGGCTGAGCTAGCAGCATGCCTGACGTGAAAAGGCTGTTGCAGCCACTGAGGTCAAGGAAACGCAGGGCCGGGCAGCCCAGGATCAGGGCCACGAAGGAGGCCTCTGTGGGGCTGCCCCCACCAAGGCACAAGCTCTGCAAGTGCAGGCCCAGGTGGTAGGCAACAGACTGCAGCACCTGGTGTGAAGCCGGCGAGCCATCCAGGTTGGTCAGGCTGATGGCAGCAGATGCCCCTGAGACGCAGGCTCTTGACGGTCGGAAGGGAGGCAGAGGACACGGGGATGTTGTACCTTGCGTTGGCCTATGGGACAGCAGCGGGCCCGGGGTTAACACACTCTGGTCTCAAGAGTGTGCTGGCCATCGGGTCTGGGGGCAATTCGCTGGCCAGATTTGAAGGCAGGTCAGGGAAGGGGTTTTCTACAATGGGGACCCACTGTGGTGTGTGGTGTCATGTGTGCTTGAGGGGGTGCTGTTGGGAAGTGGAAGCTGGGAGGATGGGTCCCACTGGGGGTCCAAGGGGACGACTACGAGGGGAGGACAGGAAGGTTAGTGACGGACAGGACTGAATGCCTATGGAGGGCCTGGGCCAGAGTGGGGACTTAGCACGCTGAGTACAGGAGGGCTGGGGGGGACCTGGAGGAGAGCCAGAGAAGCCCCCCGGCAGCAGGAGGACAAAGTATGCTGGACCCCAACTTTTGGGACTTTCAGAAGGTGGCCCTGAGACCCATGGACTCGGCTCCAAATCCAGGGCCTCAGCTTGGCCTTAGCTAAGCAGTCAGCTTCCCCCACTTTCGCGAGAGCATATAAATAGCCCTCGGAACAGCTGAGGGCGGGAAGAAGGTACGCAGGTGTTGCTCAGCACAATTCCCCGTGGCCCAGATGCCAGAGATCTGGGACAGGCAGTGAGGCCGAGGTCCCCTGGTGGCCACACACATTTAGTGTCTCAGCCACATGAATGTTTACAAAAATGGGTTTTGTGTGTGAGTGAAAACGTGCTCACGCACTGAGTGTGGTGTGCGCATGCGTGGGGGCGTGGGCGCGCTCACAAGTGTAGGCCCTTCAGGCTCGAGACTTCAAGACGTGCTTGTGAGCCCTGGGGCTCATCTTTAGAGGGTCTGTCTTATCTGTCCAGGTAAGGAGGGAGAAGCCTCCCGTTTCTGTGGGCAGGAGTTCATAGGATGAATTTCAGAGGCAGGGAGGAAGCTGAGTTGGCCCTGCCGTAGAGGAACAGGGGAGCGAGCGCGGGGAGCACACAGTCGGAGTTGGGTGGGGCCGGGAGGCAAGCTCAGGGCTAAGTTGTTGTGGGAAAAAGCTGGCTTGTTTACCAGTTTGGGGAGCCCCCAGTGAGGGAGATGTTTTTGTGGAACCTTCCCTGACCTTGTGCCAGAAGGAGCCAAAGGACAGTAGCTACAGGAATGTGTGGAACTGGTCTGTGGGGGGAGGGAGAAGAGGACTTGGCTTCTAAAATCCTAGCCCCATTTCTCTACCCCTGACCAACGCCCAGGTTGCAGGCAAGTGGTACTCAAAGGCTCTTGTTTTCACAAGCAAGCTCCCCAAAAAACCTGTCCTGTGAGTAACGGCAAGAACAAGCTGACATTCCCTGCTTGTTCTCCACAGAACATCATCAAAAGGGAACCAGAAAGGTAGAAATGACGCCTAATACGCACTCCCCGCAAGATACTTATCAACAGGATTCTCCCAGGAAGACGTGTGGAACTCATTCCCAGGTGTGGAGAATCAGCCTGGCTTCTGCCCCAGAGAGAAGCAGCTGACTATGGCTGTCCTCACGGGAAGGAGGAGCGTACGGTAAGAGGGAGACCAGCGCCGGGCGAATTTCACGGGAATCAGGGTGTCAAACCAGGTTCCCATTTCAGACCCTGTGGTCAGTATGGATGAGATGAGCTCTCCCCACAGATTCCCCGCGTGGACGCTGGGAGACAGTGGGGTAGTGGGGACTCCCGAGGACCTGGGTCCCTCTCTCAGATTTAAGGAGAGCTGGGGAAGATCTCAGTGTGTGAGGTTCGGGAGGGTACCGAAAAGATCAGGGAGAAAAGGTTCTAGAAAGGAAAGGTAAAGCGTGCCTCCAGCCCTTTCAAAGCCCTGCAGTGACGACAGATGAGCCAGTCTGATGATGAGTAGAATGAACTCTGGCTGGGGGAGTGCAGAGCGGTGCTGGTTGCCAGGCAGCACCTGCCCCCAATAGTCACATGCCACCCCCGCAGGCCCCAGCTCCAGCAGCCTCCAGTCTTCCTTCTTTCCCTGTCTTCCTGAGTCCTGGCTGCCAGGAAAGTTCTTCCCTCTCCCAACTGCCTTCCTGTGAACAAGGTAGATGAACAGCCCAGCGTCCAAGTACAGGGCTGGCAGGTGGCAGCAAAAGCTACCCAATAATGGGGCAGGGCCTGGCCTAAAGGACTTCCAGCTATGGGGCCAGGGTGAGATTTTAGACTGCCTCCTTGCTCCCCACTGTTTTTCTTGGTGGGGAGGAGGAAGCCTGTAAGCCATCACCGAGGTGGTCTACCTGGGACTCAAATACAGGAGCCCAGGAGCAGCCTGTTAGGGATATTTATCATCTGTGGGGGCAGAGCAGCAGGCTTCTGGGTTCTGGTCCTTGGCCCCAGTGTAGGAAAGTCCCCCTTCCCAGGCCCTAGGAAGATGCTTCTAAAGGCCTAAGGGAGGACTACACAGGTACCTGCTCCAGCTTCAGCCACCCCATCACAGAGGGGCCGACTAGCCCCCTGGGCTCCTCCCTTCCCAATGCCGGCATCTTAAGAGTAAATGCGAAATCATTTGGAAAATGCCCTAAACTTGCTAAAAGCAATACATGTCCCTTGACTGTGAGAGGCCAGGACTCTGTCGTAACTACTGAAGTCCTGAGCTGAGATGGCAGGCCTGTGTGCAGACTTGAAAAGCCATCTGACGGAGACGTGGCCCTCCTGTCTGCTGGCACAGGAATCCAAAGTTAACACGCCTGTTTTCCAGAAGCCCTTTGAGAAAATATATGCCCTGGTGCCCAGAGGCTTTGGTCTCCAGAGAGGAGTCAGACTTTGGGGGTCATTTCCAGAGGCGTTATAGACGCCTTGGGCAAGAGAAGGCCGCAGGGGGTGGGAGCCGTCCTGAGTTCTTCAGTGACCAGCCCAGTGGCAGGCAAATAGCACCCCCGCCCTGGTACGGACAGAGCCTGGGTGTATTGTTGGGGTGCTGCCTTTGTCTACCTTCTTATTTGAGAAAATATGGAATTAAGTGGGGGCAGGTCAGGGAGAATAAGAAGTCATGAAGTCTAGTATCCTAGCCTGGTCTGGAGCCATATAGGCCCCAGCTTGGCCTTGGTCAGCCAGAATCTTCTGTAGCACCTACTAGCTGGGGCTCCACCTCCTTATCAAGCTGCTGAGCCCTGGGAGATGGTTCCTGCCAACAGGGTTCCGCAGATTGGTCTCTGGGACGTGGTGCCGGCAGGGCCCTAGATGCTCAGGTATCTGTGGCCTGGCTTCCCAGCACTCCCAGCCCTGGGGGTGGAGTGGGGGACTGAGTTTTGCAGAGGCACCAAACGGGTCTTTGTCAATGTTCTATCTGGAGTTCAGAGTTAGCTGGAGAAGCCCCAGTGCTAAAATGGTAGACTCTACGATCCCAAACTCTGACCCTGGTCTCCTCCTTTTCCTCCCTCCCTTACTCCTATACCAATCTCACCTTTATCCCCGGGGCCTGACTGCCCACTTGGCTTCTTCTGTGCTCTCCTTCCTTGCTGGACTCCAAGAGGCCTCCCCTGGATTACCTCTCCTCAGGGTCCTTGTGGCCCTGCCTGTCATGCTGCTGTCTGCCCATTCTCCTTGCCCCCTGCCTGGCCAGGGATGATGAGACCGCTGCCTCCTCTGGGTGTGTGCTGGGGATACAGAATTCTGCCCGAGGAAGCCGTGGCCTCCCCTCGTGCCTGCACTGTCAGCACTGGCCTGCCCACTCCCACCTCCTCACTGCCTCCCCCTCTCTTCTCACTCCCCTCAGACTTCTCTCCAAGCCCACTATCTTCTCCAGCCCCTGATGCTACTGTAGCTCCCTCCCCTCACTCCAGCCTTCTTACAGATGACCTGACCATTTCAAAAAGAAACCAAAGCCCCTTAGGTGGGAAGGCCCTCCCTTTTCCCTGTTCACATCCACCAGCCCACCCCTGGCAGGACCCATCCTAACCTCCTTCCCTCTCCTGCTCTTTGGTTCAGGGTGACCCCCTTCTCCCGGCCTACTGAGCCTGTCCCCCACCCTCTCCTCTGAGAACCCTGCCTTTCCACTGCTCGTTCCCCAGAGTCCACAAACACCCCGGAGTCTTAGCAAAGGCCTCCCTTGATCCTGCATCCCCTCTTCTCACCTTTCACCCCCTCCCCTCCACTGTCAAGCTGCTTGGAAGCACATGGGCGCCCACACCCACTGTGGCCACCTCTTTACCATGGCTTTGCCCACTTACCCCTCCACCACTGCCCCCACAGAATCACTCATTCCCAGCAACAGCTCCTCTCTGGCAAGGTCACCAGCATCTGGGGGCTCCCCTGAAGACTTCCCACAAGTGTCCTCTCTGCCATGCCATGCTGCCTGCTATGGATGGCCAGTCTCCCCTGATGCTCTCTCCCACTGGGGGTTCCGAGACTCTGCCCTCTTGGCTCTCCTACCTTCTAGCCTGCTTTCCATTCAGGGTCACCAAAGAAGAGAAGGACCCAGTCCGTAGACCAGTGGGTTATCCATGGGTTGTTCCATTCTAACACACACACACACACACACACACACACACACACACACACACACACACACACACACACACACACACACACACACACACACACACACACACACACACTCCCTCCACGTGTACCCAGCAGACTTCATCCCATTCCAACTACTTTGTTTTCCACACCTTCTTCCTGAGCACCAGATACTGGGAGCCATGATCTGATGGACCTCTCTCCGGATTCAAGGATGCAATATGCCCAAATCTGAGTTTACTGTCCTATTGCTGGTCTCTGGCCCTTCTCCTAAACTCTCAGTGCCCTCTACCACATCACCTAAGTCAGAAATCTGGGAGTCATCCTAGACCGCTCCCTCACATCCACAATGATGGAAGTCCTTTCCATTCCATCTCTTTGATACATTGTAATATGTCCCTCTGCTCCCCCCTCATTGCTCTGCCTTAGTTCAGGTGTCCTTATTGTCTGTCAGAAATATATTAAGCAGTTTCCTCCTGATCAGGGTCCGGGCCTCCAGTCTCCCTGGCTCCAGTCTATCCTTGCTATTGTCACCAGGGTGATCCTTACAAAAGGCAAT